GTAATGTGGTGTGTAGGTGTCGGTGTTGTTGCTGGTGTATTCTTCTCATTTCTATTTTTTCTTTCCAAAAACAACTGCTCTTCACTTATCAAACGCGTCAGCAGTGTTCCATTAGTTTTGCACTAGCTAGGTCAATCGGATGCAGAATACATTGAACGTCTGTCTGCAAGCAGCAAGTGTATGTACGGGAACAAGCACTCAAACATCTGTCACTAAACCTAAGCCTGCTGTTTACAGATTAACTCTCTCTCTTTTTCACCGATCCCTACAGCTCTTTTGGTATATCCAGTGAACACTTACTCCCAAATAGAAATTTCAATGCGCTTTCGAATGAAGGATATGGCCGAATTGTGCACATGAACTAGCACTGCATTAAATGCCTGCTCATTTACACGGCCATTAACGCAACTATAAAACAACATTTGACGAAAATTCAAAACAAATGAACATTGCAGATGGTTCTTCGGAAAAATCCCACTTCCTCTGAACAGAATCATCATTCAACGTATTTTGTCAAGAAATCTCAGTTTTTATAGTCGAGAAACTGTGCAATTTGAATGGGAAAATTTTTAGAATATTCATCGCGAGTATTCAGCGAAAATGCAGTGAGGAAGTGTAAAGGTGCGAAGGTTAACAGTGAATGCATGATGGCACGCATTGCTGAGCTCTGAAAAAATCTGCACTCATTCTTCAAAAACCTTCAACACATACATACTATTGTCGGAAATTTCACAAATTAGTGGTGCAGAAGAAGTCATTCCAACGGCAATACTACCGTAAGAACGTACAGTACAACATAAACTAAGCTTGACGCACACAAATTTCTGAGACAAGACACAATATTTTCGAATGTTCCATTCAATTCCCCATCCATACACTCTCGAAAAAAATATTGGATTCGATATGTAAGGAGTTTCAAGTTCGAAAAGAATATGAACTGAACTTATAACAGTGCTATGTCCGCAGACTGATCTGATGATGCGATCAGCTTCAAGTAATTAAATTGAACTCAATAATAGATGTCAAGAAAATTCGTATGAAACGCAGATATATTCATTTGTTTGAATTAGTATTTAAATGCGGATGTTTGAGAATCAGCTTCACACACAATCGAATCTAAACGAATTCAAGCATCCACCCGAAAACTAATCAAGAAACAAACCAATACTCACCTACTCAAAGGTTTTGCAGATTTCGGGACTGAGATCACTCGGCTCACCATTAATTGTTTTGTACTACTGCAATTTCATTTATGACGAAAATATTATCAAAAGATTTTATTTGTATTAGAGAATGACGGATGAAATTACGGAAGCGATCAGTCTCATTTAGTGATTCAGTAAACATTCTTCAACAAACAACGCTAAATGCCTTCTCCCTTCCACTGTTGTTTGAGAAAACGTTTAAATGACATTGCATACTAATCGAAAAATATTCGTTTGAATTTACAGTGAAAATGTTAAACGGGATGCAAAAATCGGCAACAACTCAGAACGAATTAGATGATCAAAAGAGAAACAAACCTAAGATGATGAATTTTAAACGAGTCACATTTCATCGTCGACATCGAACCGAATACCATCTGTCCGATGGCCGAAACGTCGGATCGATGGCGAAGCAGCTATAAGTTGTGAACAGATGATAATAACAATCGCATTCACTGATAACCTTATTACGATGATTATCGTATATGCAATACGGTCATCTTTTTAATTACTGGTGGTTTTATTTGAAGTCAGTTCAATTCGAAGAGTGAAACAATAGCAATACCTTAAATCGTCCACATTGCGATGGCTTGGCAGTTGGTGGAATACCGGGGGATTGAGCCGGTATAACGGTTTCACTGTCAAATAGCAATCGCCTTTCTTCATTCAAAATCACCAGACGCATCTGATCTTTTGTGAATATCTTCTCTTGACGCACACTGAAATGATGAACAGTCGAGGAGGGTACAACTTAAAATTCATAAGTTTTCATTAGTTGTGTTCGATTCACTGCATTCATTTACCACAAACACTCTGTGTTCGATTTTATCGGACCGTTCCGAAAGGAAAGCATAAATTTTTTGATTTTACGATGTGTTATTACTAATAATTGTGTGTAAGTTCAGGATTAGTAATCACTTGTGTGTTGTTTGCCACGTTTGTGTGCACTGCTGTAAGCAACTAGAAATGGGAATAGAAATTTTCAAATCACATTCTACTTACACTAATTTGTTGATGTCACATTAGGCGGATACTTCTTGCTTGATTGAATGACGCAAGCAATTGATATGAGGAGAATAAAAAGAACAATAATAGTGTCGTTGTCACAATAACATTACCGTTGTTATGTTCAGTCTCATTTATTGATGTTATCATTTCGCATTAACATTCATGAATTATTAACTTCATTCTATGTTTTTCGTGTTTCACAACTAAATTTATTTGTTTTTGATGTACCCAGTTGGCAGCCAACAATGTCGAATGTTACCTTCAATTCCAAGCCATCCAAAGCGAATCAACTGATAATACACGTCGCCAACACTTATCAAGTGTTTAACCACTACTGTCAACTAACAACAACCGACTCTATCACCAGACGGAACCACTAAGAAAAAAGAGCAGACACCCATCCATGACAGAAAAAAACAGTTATTTTCAAAAGAGCATCTAGCAAATAACTCGCCAGAACAAGTATGTTTTCAACTTCAAATAAAAACATCATTCTGATGGTATTGTTGCACTCGGATATTAGATCTAAATGTAGCACCATTAAAATTTCATCTATGTATAAGAAAACCCCAAGTTTGTTTGAACGTAACGGCTGGCAGCAGACAGCCGATAACGATAACGATAGACAACCTCGTGTTAGAGTTGGCCGTTCTCCAATATGTTGTGCTAAAGGACATTCACATTCATTCTGCGTTGCATGTTTGTATGTTAAACGAGAGAGAACACATTTCCAATATGTACATAAGATAAGTGCAATATGGTGTGCTATTACTAGTGCTACTCGAATTACCGCTCATCAATCAACCACCATTTCATGCTTCTCAAATAAATCAAATTTAATGCACTGAATAAGACTCAAATCTTTGCTTATCTCATTCACCAACTGCCCACAGTGAACTAAAAGCCGTTTCGGAAACAATTAATTTACTTTCTTAAATTCACAGCACTCACTGTTCATACCACGTCAATCAACTGTTCAGATTACCGATAATTATATTAATAATGATACTGATAACGATGATCATCCAGCGAATAGCACTGTTAAAATGTCAGAATTTACACTCATCNCAGTATTACTAATAAAATCAAAAGTATATAATAGGCGAAAAATGAAATGATAACACATTAATCACTGTCATTTGTCAGTTGCACTTATCAACTCAAATATGCACCCATCGAAAAGGCAGTAGCAGCAGCAGCAGCAGCACCAAGTACCCATAATGAACAACATCAAATCCCCATACCGAAACGTTCACGTGAATTAATCACATCCCACACACAACTCAATCAAGAATTCAGCTGTTACAGTGAACGCGTAATACTGCATTCATTAACTACAAAAAACAATGAATACCAATGCATTCATTAATCATCTACTCGCAATAAGAATATGTTTCTCTTATCAACGCTCACATTATATCGGTTCAATCTTTTTCATTTGCGCCTTCTTTTCATACAATTTTCACGTTCCATCAGAATGCACCACTATTCGAAGCAGATACATAAATCAAAAAACACAAATGAACAACTCACTCACTGGCTGTTCAAGATCAACCGTACGAAGATCAGCTTATGCTGACGCAACTGACCAGACAGAACTTTAGCAGAGTTTGCGAGATGTAAATGTTTAAAAAAAAAACCACATCAAGAAATTTTGCAACAAAATTTGGTGCTATGGATGGGTATTTGAAGTTGTGTGTGTGTGTGTGAACATTAATTATTCTTTCTTGCATTCAGCTCTTACAGTGAACGTGTAATATTCGTGCTTCAGATTGCGAGCATAATCCCAGAATTAAACAGTCATCTCTTTCAACCGAATAATTTTTCTCTGTGCAGCCAAAATTCGAAGAAAGATAAAATACAGCAGTATTTCACATTTCAGACATTACACACAATCGAAAGTATTTGTTTATATACAATACAACACATCTAGACAGAAAACACTCACTAAGACACGAAACAACAATAAAATAAATAAATGAAGATGAATGGGACGAAAAAAAAAGAAGAAGAAGAAATAAATTCGCGGAATGTGTTCAGAAAGTCGTAAAGTTGTCATTTCTTAAACAACATCAAACAAGATATCATCATTTTTACAACGGAAATATCCAAATCAGAAAAAAATAAATAAAATGAGAAGAAGACTTCTCGTAAATACAAATAAGCTGCCGAAAATTATCGCCTCCTCAACCAAATAGAATAAGTCATTCACTGTGTTCACTGACTACTATTCTCAATGAAATTATTCAATTAGGAGAGGATCAAACTTTAAAAAATGCTCAAGACTTCCACAAATGTTCAGGTATGCTTTATGCTCAATGTTTTTGACTATTCCCAGTTGAAATTAATCAATGTTCGTTGAAAAAATGTCGCATTATTTGAATTCCTCAGATCACGACGATTAAAAATTTCATTTCTCTGTTCGAAAGTAGGATAAAATCACTGACTGGATGCATGCTGAATGTTTTAACTTTCCCCAAAAAAAACTTGTGAAGGGTGCGGTTCGATTATAGCAAAATGAAACAAGACAGCAAGATGAAATGAACAACGTACTGAAATTATTTATAGATACCGGAATGTCGTGTTTATGAGTTGTTGTGCTTGTTTTTCGTAATCGCTCTCATTGAGCATCTGATATGAAGCGTAAAAAACATTCATCTAGTTTCGTTGATGGAACGGTGTGTGCTTGGATTGTCGACAGACACGATGCGAGAGACACATTCGCACTGTATCATCCCCATCCCATCCGTTTTCTTCACTCGATTTATGCATCAAGAAGAGACACAACGCAATCGCACTGCACTGCTGCATAACTTCTTGCGACATTTTTTCATGCATCATCACCACACCATTTTTCAGACAAAAGTAAACGAAATTCAATTCGCCAAACGATAAAAACTTATAATGCATTTGTCGATCGCTCGCTAGAACGTTGTTTGCAAATAAACCACCAAACTAAATTATTTTCACGCGCTCTGTGTTCTCGTCACCATTCCACATCCCATCAAATCAAACATTCTTCGTTTTTCCACTAAATATCACTCACCCTCAATCTTCATCAGACCATTATTTCAATCATTCACTCATTCATTCACAATGCAACAATATCCAACTGAATAATATTTATTTATTATTCACTTTTGGGTATATGCCAGTAGTGTTCTCAGTGCATCGCAACAACCGGTCAAAACACTCAAATACCAGTTGGCCAGATGCTTAAATCATATCATGCAAGCATATCTCTAACACACAAATAAAAACGTTTCTCTCCAATCGCACTCTGTGAGCCAGTTCACTTTTACTCAGAATAATTGCTTTTTTTAAATTCATAAGCAAATCCATATCTCAAATATTTTTAGTAGTTTCGTGGTTAAAATGAAACGAATTGTTGAGATGATTGCATGGTAGTTTATTAACAGCAAAGGTGCATTCCCTGGGAGAATTGTAAGGGTGCAATCAGATGTCTTTGGACGGACTGATAAGCAATCATTCGGCATTGGCGATAACACTCGTCATTAATAGCTCTGATGAAGGAGCTATAAAATGAATGAATTCAATGAAATTATCAGTGAGTGAATAGTTGATACAGAATATAAACATCAATTTCAACGTCATACTATCGAGTGAATACACACACACACGGTACTGATAACGAATAGAGTTCGCGTGATATTCACGCGATGAAATTAATCTCATATTAATATTCATTCTTGCAACAATGGCCTCAATTAGTAATTTGCTCATGCTATTATCCACTAATCGATTATTCAGAATATCACATATTTTGCATTAATGTGTTAAAGAATGACTGTAATGCGATGCACTGAAATGAACGTCATTGATGACGATGATATTATGATGGCATGTGCATTAAAGCATATGAAAGCACACAAATGTATACGAAACAAGACTCACCAGAACTCGTTAATCTGCTGATCATCTTCGATTGCCTGAATAACACTCGCCGGTTCACCATTTGCTAAGGAAGACGCTTTATCATTATGTCGTCTCAGTGAGCCTTTTGGAAAAAGACTTTTCAGAAGAGCCATATTCTTTTCATGCAGAATACTGAATGAATAGCAGAAATATGAAGGTGAATGCCACAGTAAAAGGAGCAATGCAAGTGATAATATCAATTGCTTTTGTTTCCGATTGAACGTATGTGCGAAAACGTTCCGAAAACAAATACCGGGAGTTGATCGACGTTCACAGTACTAACATAATGGCGAATCGACGACTCAGAGTCGATAAATTAGCGTAATAGAATGGATGTACAAAAGCTTTATTAGGTGAACTGAAAATTTGTTTTAAGTCAATCAAAATAATCGACCACAAGCACAACAAATTCAAAACAACATTCATCGTAAGCATTGCAGTGAAACAGCATCAACAAACTACACAACACTGTCATTACTTCATACTATTAAATAACTTTACAACGGGTGTTCATAAGGTATTCCATTTTTGTTAATTAAAGCTACTCCCAATCAGGTAAAAAAAACTCGCGTTAATCTCCTTCATAGAGTCCCCTTAGGCTGCCACGTACTTTTCCGAACGATTCTGCCAATGTCGGAAGTAGCACTGGAGCACCTCTTTTCGGATGGTGTGTATTTAGGGCGTCGCATTCCGCATAAGGTTCTCTTTGGAATGAACTTTGGTCTTTTTCAAGGGTATCGTCAGATTACGAAAACGCCAAAAGACACACAGGGCCACGTTTAGAGGATGAGAAGTCTAACGAAGCACAGGTGTCGCCCATCTCGACTGCAAGCATCCCTAGCTATATTCATTCGTTTTGAAACGAAAAATTGAGGTCGGTCGATTCATGTTTATGACACTACAACAGATACTCTATGATGACATTACAACAACAAAATCAATTCATAAATTCCCGAAAATCATATCTATCAGCTGGCCAAATGCTAGTAATGAATGCTGTCGATATAGGATCGATGTGAAAAAGGTCGGTCGTCCAATGAATGTCATTTCGAATGGATATGCAAATGAGCAGTGAATGATGCCAACGAAAGTACTGCGCACCTCTGTTTCATGCCTGCGTTCCTAGCAATCAATTCAGCTCTTATTCACATCGAATTTCTCCGGGTCTGTTTGATCGCAACTGCTAGTGATGATGTAATCCAGGAATGAGGCTCTTCAATAAGCATTTCTTGCCGAATTTATTCCCTAACAGCATCACGTCATAATTCCAAACAAACGGGTCGTCGTATTCGAGTGTTTGATTAGCTATGATATCATCTTATATGTCACCAATATCAACGTCATACATTTGCACACAACTCTGCTGCTCTTTCTCAATCCTTTTGACTCAAGAAATATGTTCATTGATTTCGTTCATAACAAAAAAAAGTTTTGCTTCGTCCTATTAAATTGCAATAAAACAATTTTATGATGACATTCCAAAGTAGCACATGCAAAATCAACGCCAAGTTCATAAAGTTCTTATTGTTCAAACATCGCTGTTATGAGTAATATGCAATCACGTCGTCTTATTCTGACGCGTCAATAAATAAACATTCCCAAATACAAATAAATAAAAGAACGTCTTCGAAACATAACCATTACCCCAGCATCGTTTACAAATGATAACGTTCACAAATGAAATTTAAAATTCCATAAAACTGTCTCGATCTGAATGAATAGAAGAATGTGGTGTGTAGGTGGTATTTTGTTATAGTTTGTGTGTGTTAGTGTAAAAGTTTGTGTGGGTAGGTGTTTCGCGATCATAAAACTCTGAGAAGAACGAATAAGAAATAACATAAATATTAACAACACAACGATGCTTAAAGCACAACAGATGCAAGGAAGGAACGAGCGGGTGGATGGATGGATCGGTGGATGGATGGATGAAACATTTAATTGAATGAGATCACGTCACACACCAAATTCAATTCTGACGATTGTCATTGCGTGGGCCATGCATGGATGGCACTCGTCAAGTTTGAAACAAAAGACGACAATCAGCCAAAGTCCCTCTTAAGAATGAGCCAAAAGCGCATTGCAAAATTGTTTCGAAACTTTTTTGTTGTTGTGAAAATTTTGATCGCAACAGAACAAAAGTGCGATGGAATGAATGAAACGAACGATCAAAAAACCTCCAACCATAAAAAAACCACTGAATCATTTGTTTTGTTCCTCCTCTTTTATAGACAAAATATTTTCAATGTGGTGAATGAATGGGCCCCCGTCTAGGCGTTTGCTTTCAGCGCATCAGAGTTGGTGCATTGAAGCGAGCAAAAAAAAATCATCACCGTACGAAATAACATTAAAATTTCAACAGCCTCAACTGGGAATTCAAAAGAAAGTGTTTTCTGTGTTCATGATAAAATTATCCAATGAACAATTCACATCAACCGTTTCGATGAACATCGATGGTCACACGTGACAACAGCAATAAAATCGCTCTCTGCTTGTAAACAAATTAAATGTTTTGGCATCAAGTCGAATTGAAACGTTCCAAAAAATGAAAAAGCACTTGCTGAAATCTACCTGATTATACGCAACGAAACAACATACAGAACAGAAACTTGATTGCACGTGTCAGACGAGATCGAATGATCGAAAATGTATCACAGTTGGAATGATGATAGGACCGCAAAGTATGCAAATTTATGCGAATAACTTGAAGGATTCGAATGGAAAGCGTATGATTTGTTCCATATAAAATGGATTTATGGCAGTGCATCAAGCTGACTGATGTGTATATACACGACGGATTCGTTGTTTGATTACAATCTAGACAAATGCACCTATAACAGTTCTCACATGTGCATATACTTTCAACCCTTCCGGTGTACCGTTTCGGTGGTTCATTTACAGAGTCGTTGATTGAATGTACGTGTATATTCTCGAATGAATGATTGATGACTACATAACCACTTAAATAATACATTTCTATCAGAGAACATTCGAAAGTGAACAATTTCTCAAATTTTGCTTAATTATAATAGAACTGCGTGAACAATTCGATCAAGTGCACAGGTGATTTCATGTGAAAAATGAGTTGCAATTCTCACTCGCTATGAAAGTCTCGTTCGCTTGCATCGGCACTGAATGAGATTACTGTGAGTGAAAATAACATTCAGCAAATAAGATGAACTGACACTAAAATGTAGCGTTGAGACGAATGCGAAATGGAAAATAAAGTGGAATTAACGGTGCAAAGCGAGTTCGTTTCAAAAGGAAACAAATTTCATTGCGACGTTATTTGTTCATTTATGAGTGAACGAAGTTGCAATTTTTGATGATTTTACTCGCATGCTACGAGTGAATCGCTTGTGATTCAACACGGCATAATAAATTTCTCATCAAAGCAGCCGACTGATAAAAGCGATACGTGTAGCAATGATATGAAAAGGATATGCAACACATGAACACACATACATACACACATACCTTCAAACTAACCAGCTCTACTCAAACGCATTCGGAACGTCAATTCAGAGGGATTATTTGATGGCGTTAACGTCTGGCTTGGCAAATGTGAGAAAAAAGACTGATGAGCAACGTGAAAGTGATGAATTTATGAACACTGATTCAAAAATTAATTCACGGCGTTTCACTGATTGTGAGCAGCACTATTTACTGAACTGATTAATAATCATTCGTATTGGACGATCGAAATTCAAAAATCGATGCGAATTAAATCGGGTTCGTGAACACACAATCCCTTCAGATGCTGAAACGGCGATTACACATGCGAATTGAGGCCAGCCACAAATCAACGCTTCTATTCCATGAACACGTAACCTCAGAGCACTCCTCCTCAAAATGAAGCATGCACGGATGAATCTACGAGAACCATAGAGCCTGGATTTGGGGTCAACCTTCTGAAGGAATTGGACAGAACTTGCTTTTAACAATTTCAACACAGTGCAAAACCAAAGTAAAACAATTTTGGTTTGCTGCATACGGACATATTCATGATGATTTTTTACGAATACACAACAATGACTCGTTGCTTTTGTTGATGCTGTAATATTTTTCCGACATTTTTTGTTGCAAAAAAGTAAGTTATTGTTGAATTTAAATGAGCACACACACACACACAGAAAAACAACAACATAGCAGCTGCAGCATCCGCAGACTGAACGCAATTAGCTTGCATGCGCGAACATTGAACGCACCCAATTCAGGATTATTTCTAAGTGTGTGTCTCGTTCCTTTCATCTTCTCTTCTTCAATAACACCACTTTTGGCTTGACTCCAAGCCACTGCTAAAACACCCAAACAACAGAACTCAGTCTGCTGTCTGCTTATGAGTACAACTGCTTAGAATAGAAACGTTGCCATTTGACAAGCAACGAAAAATACGCGGCGTGATTGAAGAACATATAAATAGCAGCAGTAGACATAAGTTGAGTTGTTCTCTGTTCCATAGCACACTCTCAAATAGCGTTGGCCTCTTCTCGCTTGAACTCAATTGAATTTCACGTTTCACAGACAGTCCAGTAGAGTCTTGCGTTGGTTGGCCTAGCAATCCGAAACAGATTAGAGAAAATTGAGCGGTGAATGGAGTAGGGATGCCACCGGTTTGATACGAAAAAACTCATGATAGCTGAGTGGAGTGGCGAAAATCAGTGGAATGCGCATTCGGAATACTTACTGAACTAACAAAATGAAAGATAGATAAAAACGGGAATGTTTGGCCGTATTGCGCACCCAAACGACTGCTGCTGCGATGCTAATCATACACAACAACGAACAATGAACACATGAACCATCGATGACAAGCAATTACTCTTTGGTAAAGCAGTGAACTTTGAACAATAATCAGATGATGTAATTTTTCTTTTCTAATCTGAGTCATAAAAGTGTGCATTTGAAACGAGAATAAAAACGAATGCAGTTGAGATTTATGCACGGAATTATAAATTGGTGGCTAGACATGGAAAGTAATTCAGGAACGCATCACATCACATGGCATAGTTTCGCGCTTGCGCTTCTGAACAAAAAAATCGCAATTAACGATGAAAATATTGATATTCTACGAGAATAGATGAGATGATCACAATACTACATTATCAAGCTAATTGATACAGAAGAAACAAATGTGCAATTGTGTGTATATTGCGGTTATCAAATTGGCAAAGCATTTATTGCAAATTGGCACAACAATTAAGCAGCACTAGGAGTAAAAGTAAGAAGTAAACCCGAACACATGCAAATAACAATACAAATGATGTCTCGAGTCTTTTCTTTAAAAGAACAGCACCAGCATCAGCAGACATCCATCCATCCATGCTGACACATTCAGTTTGGCACCAGGCCCGCCCCAAACACGCCTCGTTCATAATAATATCTTTCTTTGCATCCGATTCCACACTCGTCCCGTCCCACTCAAACGCTGCTCTCATTCCCCTAACTCTCATTCTCTACTGAACACTGCCTCAATTTCCACTCTCATTCTCATTCACACGACCACCGCATCACGTCATCCGTCGTCGTATATCTATTACAAAGTGCACGTGAATTCACACATTGGATGTATGCCAAGCAACGTAAATTCTAATAGATTTAATGATGGATGTGTGTCTGTTACTTCTATAGACATATACTATTATGTGTGTGTGTATATCCATCCGAAAGAGTAAATGAGATTGTGAGTAGCGATAAAGGATTCTTCATTTGAATGTAGTGTGGTGGATAGATAGAAAGCAGAACACAAGCGATTGGATAAACAACGAGTGAGCACAATAAAACAACGAAGAATTTTGTGAGGACAGCACACAGCANACATTA